TTTTATTAAATTTAGAGCAAGTTCATTCCAGAGGATGTTGGGCAGAGACCCAGCTTAGTCTGTTGCAAATATGAAGATGATGAAGATGATGATGATGATTAGAATTTATATACCGCTCTATACCCGGAGGTCTCAGGGCACTTCACAGAACAACATCAAAATATAAAACCACGAAATATATAATCAAAATAAAAACAACTCGAAAATCCCCCAATAATCTCTCCCTTTGATCGTTTGGAACATCTATCCTGGTCGTCAGATGAAGAGTCAAAGAGAAAAGCTAGTGAAGCCTGATAGCTGAGATTGTACTACTCACTGAATGGATACGGAAGGAGCAGGGATGGACAAATTTGTCAATTTCAGCTTATCCCTGTTTCTTATTTTCCCAGTCAAAAATTCAGTTCTCTATATTTCTGCGTAAGTTTATTTTTATTTTTATTTAAATTCTTCAGCATTTTGGTCCAAATATACACATTTTTACATGTAATTTTGCCTAACATGCACTTTTTTGCAAGCAATTTCCCTCACTATAATGCATTTCTGGATGTGGTTCTCATTAATGTATGCCATATGGTATAAATTCATTCAGCATAAAACTAAGTCTGAGAGCATTCTTCACCTTCACATAGTGCCCAGAACATTGTGGATGATACACCCTTGTGCAAATGACTTGAAACAAACAATTTAGTTTATTATACAAAACTCACATATACATGTACAAAACTCACATATATGTACATTAGTAAAAGATATGACCTCTGCTATTTTTAAGCAGCATTTGAACACGGTTTGGCATGGAGTCTACTAGTTTTGAACAGTCCCTGTTGCTTTTTGGATCTCTGTACCACACTGGAATCAGTGCTTGAATCATGAATTTCTTCACTACTTTCAATGTGTGACAGGGGCTAGATCCTGCTGCAATATTCCAGTACCATCAGGATACCTTTTTCCCAGCTCTGGAATAACTCTCTTTTGTAGAACCTCAATATATTGTGGTGAGTGCATCACTCCTTCTATTGACTGCAGGCTTCTAACACCATAATGATCAACTGACTTTTTGTGTTTGTTTTGAGTACAGGATTATGAGTAAGATAGAAAACACTCTTTGTTTCAGTTAATTTGCACAAGGGTGTGTATTTGACATAGATACCAAACCTGCTTCTCATTGATTTAAAATGTCAGTGTCCCACTGTTTGTTTTGTTTGTTATTATTATTGTTCTGTTTTTTTTTATGTGCCATAAACCTCATGTAAATATTTAATTTTTTTTAAAAAAACTATTTTAATTAATGTATGTTCTATATTGTGCTCCTTCTGGGATAGTTTGTCCACCTTTGGTATCCACTCTGCATTCGGCTCTTATCTATGGCTCCTAGAAGCTGTACGCATGTAACAGCAGCCACAATCTGGGAAATTAAGAAGCTGCATGCACATACATGACACAAGAAAATTAGGAACGTTTTAGGTTTTGTATGTTTGTTTTTTAATGTCGATAGAACAAAGAACCCTGGAGCTACTTGTCTGAAATTTTGCAGGGATAACTCCCTCTTAAGGGGTGAATATTTCCAGATAACAATTTGGATCCAGGGTCCAGATCAGATCTGGATTGATCCTGCATGAATGAGGATCCAGTCCAATTTGCCAAATAGTGCCCCCAAATCAGTACAGTCCTAAACCATATTAAACATTGCTAAACTTGCTGTGCAAACAGAAAACACTTTTTTTAATAGAACCAATCCTACTTAACGAGTTTCTGTCAATGAGACCATGTTGGAATAGGTAGAGATGTTTTAGATGAACACCCATCAGACTTAAAGTGTTCAGAAAGAAATATCACAGTGATGATCAGGTTTTCTGTCTATTAGAGAGTTTTTTCCTCCTCCTCTAGCGTAGCATCATTTCATAAAGTCCTGACACTTCCTTTCCTTTGTGATGACACCCAAGAGAGCTTTCTTGCACAAAAGGCTGAGTACTACATGGCTCCATTGGTTAGGCTCATAAATGACAAGAGAAAATTCATGTGCATGTTTAGAGGAAATTGGCACGTAACCTCTTCTAACAATAATGGGAACTAAGCTTGCAAACTCTATTTCATAAAGGTGAAGCTCCACTCCAGGAGCAAAGCACATTCCATAAAGCATTAATAGATCATTAATCTTGCTCCACTTTCTTGACCTACTGATATCATATAAATAGCACTCTCCACCACTACCATCTCTTGCTGGCATTCTAGTGACATTTTCCAATTCAGCTCGAGCTAGTCTTCTGGTGCCCTGTGCATCCTTAGTGCCTCTGTTTTTTGGTATAAATGCTACAAAAGAACTGTAGTGTAAAAATAGCAGCTGGGCATTCTGATCCTTAACTTCATAGTCTTCTGTTTGGTAGACCTCACACTGATGCAGGCTATGAAATACTGAATGTGAAGCCTCCTCCTTCTCCATAGCTCATCTTGTATTTTGTGACCTGAAGACAGCACTCAATCCCCTGCAAAAACAAAACCTTTCATAGCATTCTTCTGAATGCCAAGTACGGCTTGCTGACATTAGAGTGCAATGTCCATTCAAGTGCTAATTACAGGCCACTTATTGCTTATATGAAGGAGCGTCTCCACCTCCATCGTTCTGCCCGGACGCTGAGGTCCAGCACCGAGGGCCTTCTGGCGTTTCCCTCATTGCGAGAAGCAAACTACAGGGAACCAGGCAGAGGGCCTTCTCGGTAGTGGCACCTGCCCTGTGGAACGCCCTTCCATCAGATGTCGAAGAGGTAAACAACCACCTGACATTCAGAAGACATCTTAAGGCAGCCCTGTTCAGGGAAGTTTTTTATGTATGACATATTAGTGTATTTTTGGTATTTGTGGAAGCCACCCAGAGTGGCTGGGGAAACCCAGTCTGATGGGCAGGGTACAAATAATAAATTATTATTATTATTATTATTATTATTATTATTATTATTATAGTTTTGTGCACGATGACTATTGATTACAACCAACGTTAACAGAGAGCCACAGCACCCACTAGTCTTTTGTACTCCTATAGAGCCGACAGGGTACAGGACATAGATGTTGCTGTTGTAATAGTTGTTGTTACAGCAATATTAGTGCACATCAGCCTTCCTCAGCCTCAGGGGCGCCAACTCTCCCCACAACAGGGTGGGCACATCACATGATGCATCATGTGATGTCATGTGATGTGCCCCGCCCAGCAGGACATGCCGTGGGGAAAGGGAGGCAGAGCGTGGAGCCCAGCACTGCATTTTTACTCCTCCTCCCTATTCGATGCTGCACAGGGAGAAGAAAGCAAGCATGCTGCTGGGCTTCATGGTCCACCTGCTTCTCCCTGAGGCACACACCTGGCGGGGGCGGAACATGCTGTAGTGGAAATGCGGAAGACAATTGTATTTCGAGGAGTTAGGTGGCATGTCCCTTTCCCTTTAACAGCCCCAGTTTGAGGTCTGCTGGATTCTTGTGTTTCACACACCTTTCGGGAGTTTCTTGGGTTCTTCTGTGTTGCAAGTGCTGGCTGGATGCCCGGCTGCAGGTAGTGAGAGACTCTCAGCCGCTCTGTATTCCAGGTGCACTTGATTACATCAAGGCAGGCTATAAAAGCCATAGGTGGGAGGGGCCCTGTGAGCTTCTGCCCAGATTAAAGGACCTGATGCTGGGAGACCGACGGTCGGGGTCTTTCTCCTGCTGCTGTACCTGGGGCTCCGGGCAGCTGAAGGGGAGATTGGGTAACCCCTGTCGGGTATGTTTTATGTTATGCTTTGTACGCCTGCTGTTTATTTGTTAATAAAACTGTTTTGGTTCTTCTTCCACCTCCTCAATCCTTTTGTCCTGATATCCTTGGAAAGAACTGCTATATTTGGCAGCACACATGCATAGGGAGATCTTCATCCTTGCTCATTCCAGCCCCCTCCCAGGTCCCGGGTGAGGCCAGGGATGTGCGGAGGGCACACAGTGGTCACCCCCTCAATATTGTGGAGGCCTGGACCCCCTGATTCAAAATATTGAGGGGGCTGAAGCCCCTAGTGCCCCCTATATCTGGCGCTGATACTCAGCCTGGAGCCTGCCAGATCTTTTGGACTGCAATTTCCATAATTCCTCACCCTTTTCCATGCTGGGAGTGGCTGGTGGCAGTTAGAGCTAAAACATTTGAAGGGGACCAGCTTGGGAAAAGCTGGTCTACATCAGGGCATTTTACAGAGAAACAGAAGCAAAGTAACTCTCAGCAAAATAGGTTTCTGCCCTGGAACTTGGTGTGACTGGAGGAAATGGCTCTGTCAGCTGACTTGCATCCATGTGAGTTTCTCGCGTCATACCAAAAATTAACAAACAACTTCTGCAGAAGGTTAATAGTTTGCTTTCTTAAAAATTTCTTTTTCGACATGTAGTACTATAATGCTTGGAGAGACAAGATAGCAGGTCTTGCACAGAACAGATATTTAGTTTGTTGCTTTCAATCCTGCTAGCACAAAATGTACAGAAATTGAGTTTTAAAACAACAACAACTATGTATTCTGTTAACCACTCACAGAGAGTTTATTTGCAAAAGAATAAGATGATGAAGCATTAATGAAGAATAAATTGAAAATAATAATAAACAAGAAACTCCCTACCATGCATGAACTGTTAGTTAAAACCTGGACAATATTAACATGCACTTTGGTTTATACAAAAAGTGGCACACATTTCATCTGAAGATGCTGCTGGGTTTGGCACTATGACAGATATACAATTGCAGCAGACTCTATAGTAATCCGTTTATATGATGCTGATATTTTGTAATTCTATGTTATTATTGTATTACACATTTTATAATATAATTATGATTAAATGATAGCAATGGTACACTTCAATACAGAGCATTAATCGTATATATTGCATTTGCTTTAAAGCTGTATTTTCAAAAATATTCTAATAAAATGATTTTAATAAGTTAATAAAGCATTGAAATAAAAGGGGCCAGCTTCCTTCCATTCAAAACTGAATCCCGAGGGGGATACTTCAAAGGAGTGCTCTAATTGGACCCAGTTTTAAACTCCTCGCAGCAGCCCAGCCAGGACTGAATGAGAATTGAATGAGATTGCGACCTGAGAACTTTAACACTCTATCACTCCGTTTAGAAGTCTGATCTCATTGATTTAAGAAGAATCTAGCAATGAGAAGAGCCAAAAGACTCAGGTGTCCTGATACAGAAACTGACGCAGAGCCCTCCGGTTTCAAACAGAGTAATCTAGATCAGTGTTTCCCAACCGGTGTTCCGCGGCACACTACTGTGCCGTGAGACATCGGCTGGTGTGCCGTGGGAGGGAGGCGGGCGAGAGGCGGCGGCGGCGAGGATCCGGCGGGGGTGGGGGGAGCGGGGGCCGTCGCGCGCAACCGAACTCACTTGGCGCGCTGCCGGCTTGTCCTCCTTCAACCCGGGTCGGGCCAGGCCTGCTCACGTCCCCGGATCCCCTAGCAGCAGCCGCACGCTCTCCAAAAGCGCAACGCTGCGCGCAACCGCTCGGCCAGCTGGTGCTCTGCGACTCCGCCCTTTCCCCTCCCAGCGCCGGAGGGTTCGCGCGACCGCAGCTGTTCCCTTTCGCAGCGCGCGGGAAACAATTCCAGGCCGATTGCCTTGTGCCGAAAAGCACCGCCTCTCCTTCCAGCTCAGGCCCGGGCCGCCGGCTCCCCGAATGACGTCACGGGGCGGGGCTTTAATGGTGGTGTGCCGCGAGATTTTTTTCCGGTAAACAGGTGTGCCGTTGCCCAAAAACGTTTGGGAAACACTGATCTAGATAATTACCTGCTACCTCAAAAACAGCACATATCTCCTCCCAAAACCTTCCTCAACTCTTTACATGGAAAGACAGTTGAAGAGATATCCCTAGGAATAAATGAGGACAAGGCTACTACTCCCATAATCGAGGCACAAGTGCTAATTGATAGAAAGGTGGAGCTGCTGGAGGAATGCTGCCTAATGACTGCTCAAACAGTTCAAAAAATCTTTGAACAATTACAAAACATCTCCAAGAAGCTGGATAACCCAGATGAAAGGAGGCAACTCACTCCCTTTTTGCCATCCTTAATAAGCCCTGGAGATAAACAGAACAAATACAAATTTATACCTCTAAACCAGCCAAAAACCAGAGGAAGCCCCCCTCACTCAGTCAACCTGATACTGAGGCCATGTGAGATTGTTCTCCACATTTTTCCATATAGAGGGCCCCTACCTTACTGGGAGTCATCCTTCTGGGCCAGACACCATCTAAATCTGCTCCTAGGCCTAGAGGGTGGAAGCATCGACCTAAAAGCAGTCAAGAGGCTCACTAACGATGGATATTCCAAAAAAGTACTACTAAAATTTGGTAGTCATAGAATTCCAACCAAAATCCTAAGGGTAAAGGCTTATTTAGCCCAGAAAGGAATTATTCCGCGTCGACACTTTGAAGATATATCACTCAGACCATTGATTGCATCTAAAAGACAGAACAAGATGAATAAGGCCATTCTACCAGAAGCCGACATCTGCCCTACTCCCGTGGAAGAACCCAGTAGATGGGAGAAACCGCAGCCAGCTACCCGGGAAATCACACAAGAAAAATCCAAGCTCTCAAACCAAGCGACTGTAGCATCAAATAACAGCCTCGCCCTTGATACAATAGACTGGACAGTCCCAGAAGAAGTAGATCTGCTGAGTAACTTTACCAAGCTACCAGATAAAGAACAAATAAACATACTCAGTAAATTGACGAAACTACAGGCCAGATTGACCGAAATTCACCAACAAGGTCAACAAAATGCAGTAGAAACAATACACAATCAAACTTTACACTTACCAGCCCTCTCCCCTAAATGCATAGTCAAAAAGAGAGCCACCAATGGAACTTTCAAATGTATAGATGCAGACCTTCAAATCCAGCCTCCTTTAGAATATGAAATGGCAAGGAAAAACTCCAGCAATGAGACCACAAATTCCTGGCTGAGATATCAAATACTAGCTCTAAACGAAATAGGTACCCCTTATTTAAGTACTACAAAGGACTCTAACATTGCCGAACAAAAGATGACCTCCAACAGACCTGATTCACTGAGCCCAACATCAAATGAGGCCAAAGAAATGGAAGTAGAGACTGAAAACAGTCCTACTGTCCACAACAGTCTACCAACCACAGAAATTTCTCAGGAACAAGGAATAGTTAAGGAAGAAAACCAAGAAAGGGAGGAAATTTTAATTTCCCGCACTTTAAAAAAGAATCTAAAAGATCCACCATTATGTTCCCCGCCGAAAGCAGCGACAAATGGCTGTATCTGCACAAGACAAAATCCCTCGCTGGACTCAATAACAGAACTAGAATGACTAAATGCTGTCAACCAGCCATCAACTCAAAAACGGATCCTACGCTTGCTGTCCTGGAATATTGCAGGGTGGGGAAACAAAGACGGAGACCCAGACCTAATGAACTTCCTTAAAGATTTTGAATTAATACTTCTACAAGAAACATGGTCAACTAGAGATATTAAAATCAATGGATTCACCTCCTATACGAAACCCGCAGTGAAAACAAACACGAAGGGCCGGCCGAAAGCAGGGTTCTGTTGCATGATCAAAGACAACTTAGGGTTTGAAATCAAGCAGCTAGAAAAATGCTTACCACTTGCACAAGCTCTACTTTTAACCCAAAAAGACGATACTTTGCTACTTGTAAATGTCTATATCCCCCCAACCAAAAACAACAGCAGCAGTGAAAATTGGTCACAACTAACCTTTTATATAGAAAATTTGACCGATAAATACCCAAATGCCTCACTGATAATAGCAGGTGATTTTAATGCCAGAGTGGGAACCAACAATGAACAACTATGTAGCAAACTAAATTGGAATACTGATAATGATATCGCACATGCCCTGAAAATAGGACGATTCTCCAGAGATAGGGTTGTAAACAACGAAGGCTTACGCCTACTTGAATTATGTAACAACTTTAATTTGCAGATTGTGAATGGTTCAACAAAAGGCGATAGAAGCGGGGAGTTTACATACTTCTCCCCCCGAGGATGCAGTGTCATCGACTATATTCTTGTCCCTTATAATATTATAAATTCAATCATGGACCTCAAAATTGGAACGCGTACTGAAAGCGACCATCAGCCATTATTGTTGTCTATTAACTTAAAGGACGAAACCAAAATAACCAAGTACAATATCATAGAACCTTCTCAATACAAACAAATGACCCAATTAAAATGGTCCCAGGAAATGAGTGCAGCAGTGGGGCAAAAACTTACAGCCAACCTGAGAAAACAAGTATTATCCAACTTAAAGACCACTAATTCCTACAGTGATATTCCGAAAATTTATAATGAAATCTTCCAAATGTTCGTAGAGCTTAGTACTCCACCTAAAGTTTGGGTACTTAAACATAGCGCTAGCCCTTGGTTTGATGATGAATGTTTCCAGCTAAAAAGAAAGCTGCGCCAAACATTTAAAAATAATCGCGCTAAACTAGAGCCCTCTTATCTTGATGAAAAAAGACAATATCATTACATTCTGGCCGAAAAGAAACAGAAATATGCAACCCAAAAATGGCTACAATTATTCGACTCAATTCAGAGTAAAAACAACAAAGCGTTCTGGAACCTAGTGTACGGAGGATTGAAAGCCGAAAACCAACTAACTCTACCACCAATTGCAGAATCCAAATGGTCCCAATACTTCACATCTGTATTTAACAATCTACACAGTGAACTCAAAGGAAATGAGACCACTAAAAATAAAATCAATAAACTCCAGGAGTGGCCAAGGGTAGAAGAAGAGGAAATTAGAGAGATAGTTAAAAATTTCAAATCGGGGAAATCTCCTGGGCCAGACGGTCTACCAATAGAATTATTCAAGACCTATATAGATTGGTGGGCAGAACCCTTAGCTCAATTGTTTACTCTCATAGATAAATATGGGATCATACCTGAGATATGGTTAAGATCAATAATTATCCCAATCTTTAAAAATGGCGACCCAAAAGAACCAAGGAATTATAGACCGATAAGCCTATTATCAGTGATAGGGAAAATCTACGCTAAGCACCTTTTATCTAAACTCCTTACCTGGATGAAAAATCTAAATTTACCAGGGAAAGAACAAATAGGTTTCTCCAAAGGTTGCTCTACATTAGACCACTGCCTTATACTTATGCATTTGGTTGAAAAATATAGATCCCAAAGGCAATCTAAGATATATGCTGCTTTTGTAGACTTTCGTGGTGCATTCGACTCAATTGACCGCCCAAAGCTGTGGAGGAAACTCGCAGAATTAAAAATTGATCAGCGCTTATTGATTCTAATACAAAATCTATACTCTTCCAATACCTGTCAAGTCAAACTTAACACCAAAGGTCACCTTTCATCAGACATCCCAAACTCGAAAGGGGTAAAACAAGGGTGTATTCTTGCTCCCTTTCTATTTAATTTATTTTTATCAGACTTGCCAGATCACCTCCAAAAAATAGAATCACATGCCCCTAAACTTAATCAGAAACCAGTTCCTCTCTTATTATACGCAGACGATGCTGTCCTACTATCATTAACGAGCTTGGGTCTGAAACGTCTTATATCTTCTCTGATCCTTTACTGCGAATGTAACAAACTCTCTATAAATTATGAGAAGACAAAAATTTTGGTCTTCTCGAATGGTTGGAAATTAGAGAAATGGAAAATAAGAGGGCAAGAAATCCAACAAGTGAAAATCTATAGGTATCTGGGAATCTTATTCCAGAGCAATTTAGGGTGGGCAAATCATCGCACAAATGCCATAAAACAGGCAAAGTGTACCTCATCAGCAGTTGCCCGTTTTTATTATCAGAAAGGTAATCAATTTATTCCTGCGGCCAATCAGATATTTCAAACAAAAGTGCAATCCCAGATATTCTATGGAATCCCGCTATGGGTCCAAGCATATAACAGTGATTTAAAAAAGATTCACTCCAGCTTTCTGAGACGTATTCTTGGACTCCCAGCTGTGATCAAATATGAAACAATGTGTGCAGAAATAGGCATACACACAATGGAATATTGGGCATGGTCCACCTCAATAAAGTACTGGTTACGCTGCCATTTTCGCTGCCCTCCATCAAGTCTGCTCGCTGATTTGCTCAAAGACTCCTATAAATCAAGATGGTATCAGTACCTCGAAAAAAAGATTGAATCTTTAGGCATCGAGCTGGAGCCCCTGTACAATTCTAATGAGCAATACATTTTCCATAATATCCTAACTAGACTAAAGGATGTCGAGAGACAAAATATTATGGCAGCTGTAAACAAAATTTGCTCCCCCATATTCTATGATTTAAATATCTTAGATAGCAGAGCCAATTACGTCACTAAATTAATAATCCCAGCCCAACGTAGGGCTTTTATGCTGGCCCGTTTGAATGTTTTTCCCTCAGCATTTGTCAGGGGAAGATATCAAAACATTCCTAGAAACAAGAGATTCTGCAGATGCTCTATGAATGTCCCGGACACTGTAGAGCATATTCTCTTTCATTGCCCATTGTACAGTATCCCACGTCAACGCGTGCTGTCCCCTCTTTTGGGTGGTCTGGAACCCCAGCAAGGTGAATGTGTGGGATTCTGCCTATCCGACGTCGACCAAAGGGTAACGGCGGGGGTAGCCGAGTTTTTGGTAGCAGTCCTCCAAGGAGCAGGTTAACAAGGAAGACCACTGATTTTATATGTATGTATATATATATATATGTATGTAGCCAACTGCTGCCTTTTATATATATTTCAAGGCTTTTATATGTTATTTCCTCTTTTATGGTTTTATTTGCACAATGCCTAATAAAGGTTTGATAAGTAAGTAAGTAATAAGTTAATAAAGCATTGAAATAAAAGGGGCCAGCTTCCTTCCATTCAAAACTGAATCCCGAGATTTGGACTCTTTCAGCAACCAACCTATTTCTGAGTTTTTAAGGCTTTCTAACCACATGTCTAATAAATGGCAATCATTCTTAATGCTGGCACCCAACAGTTCTTCAAAATTCATTTTCGGAACAGCTGCAGTGTCTACATTGTTCTACAGTGTAGCGCAGTATGGTGTTTGTATGATCTCTACCATTGTGTCAACTAAGGATTTGTTAATGGGTCATCAAGATGAATGCCAAGCACTCTGCTATTGACCGGAATATTTCAGAAATATCTTGACCGGATATTTCAGAAATTTTCAGATAGTGGGTCTGAATGGTGTTTAGCAGAAGAAATGAGATGGAGGAGCTGTCTAACCAAAAGATGCAGGTAGCACAGGTAGGATGCTCAGATAATTCTGAATTCGCAATGCATATCCTTCCCACACAGTCTCATGCTAGCACAGCCCTGTGTTTTCTGCAATCTCTGCTTATCCAAACATTTGAATATTAAAATGTTATGAACAGGGCATTTGAATGAATGAGGTTAGTCTCCCTCAGGTCTCTACAACTTATAACGCATACAGTTGACCAGCTAGAATACAAATGAGCTCAGCTCCTCCTGCTTGGAGGTGTACAGTGGTACCTCAGGTTAAGAACTTAATTCGTTCCGGAGGTCCGTTCTTAACCTGAAACTCTTCTTAACCTGAAGCACCACTTTAGCTAATGGGGCCTCCCGCTGCCGCCGCACCGCTGCTGCGCAATTTCTGTTCTCATCCTGAAGCAAAAATCTTAACCCGAGGTACTATTTCTGGGTTAGTGGAGTCTGTAACCTGAAGCGTATGTAACCCGAGGTACCACTGTATTATGAATTAAGTGCCATTTCTGCCAGATGTTCTTCTCCAGTTCAGCACAATGAGATATTTTTGTGAGATGTTGTGAATGTGTTGTCAGCATCAGGTCAGTGCCCAGGGCATCATTCCTGGGTTGCAGGGGGTTGAACTAGATGACAATTGTGGTCCCTTCCAACTCTACAATTCTGTGATTGCTGGAACCTTGCCTACTCCCAATGGAGGCGGATCCACTGAGACTCCGGGGGCACAGCTCTCCCACTGAAGAAGATGTCAAGTGGTTTAAACAAAATTCCTCCTCAAATCTCAAACTTACACAATATTTCCTGTTCCATATGTGTTACACTTATTTGAACTTAGAGGCATTTCTATCAATCTCCTATTCTCTGGCCAATCATCTCTCTGCATCATCCAATCAGTCCTAAGCCAAAAGTATTGTAATGGCAAAGAAGAACCAAAGTGTGTTAAGGAGTAAGCTATGTTAAGCGCCATGGGTCTCACTTCTGAGAAAATGTGCTTAAGGTCATGCCATAAATTGTGCCATGTGAAGGTTGTCACTGCTGTCTTGTGTGTGGTAAGATTCGCTGTATACGGTAGATCAGGGCACTATGCCACTAAAACAGTCAGATGTGGAGGAAGCAGGGCTTTTTGTTTCCAGCAGGAACTCATTTCTGGCACCTCTCAGGTTGGTGCAATTGCCGTTCTAAGAAAACAAGAGTGGTGTCCATGGTGAGTTCTGGCACTACTTTTTCTAGAAAAAATAG